GAACAAAAAGTATTTTTTTAAACTTTTTTTTTTTTTTTTTTTACACGATTGACCATTCCTGCCTGTGAATAGCGAATCGACGTATAATTGACAGCTACTGAAATCATTTGGGGGCAGGGAATGTTGTTTTATGCACAATGTATAAATATTTTTTAATTAATTAGCTGAATAATCTGAAATTAAATTTTTCCAGCCCAAAATCAGCATCACCCTTAAAAAAACCCATAATGATTCAGTCCAAAATGCAAAGCTAAAATACTTTGAAGGTTAGCTGAGTCTCTGCAGAGTTTTGATGTTTGGGTGGTTGGAGTGCGACGATGACCAGTGGCCAGCAGCCTACTCATTTTGTTAGAACCCCACACAGAGGCGTGACAATTTGCCCCTAACTCCCACATACTTTAGTCATCAAACACAAGGTCAGAAGAACTTCATGGTCAAGCAGTATTGTCACAGCCACCAGCATCCAACCAAATTGCAATATTGAGTGTGGGAGGTGCGGGGGAGGTGATGAAATTAGATTACAGTATGTATCAGTGGCAATAACATGCAACTAACAAGCTGAACTTCATTCAGGGGTCGGAATTCTAAGACGTCCACCCGAGTGAGCACTTCTGCCCCGATGCAGAGGCACTTTCCCTGACCACAATTCAAGTGTCGGCTTTCTCCTTGCGGCTCTAACGCAGTAACAATGAGCCGGTGGAGGAAGGTGATCGTGTATCCTGCGGTCGGGGAAACTTGCTCAACCTGAGGCCACTTTCACTTTTCGGTCCACGGAGGCGTATTCGTTACTCCTTAGCTCTGCTCGGGGAGATGAGCTCTGCGACGCTCGCGAGCACACGGCAGTGTATAACAACGCGTCCGTGTGTGAGAGTCTTGGGTGATATTTATGAGAGCGGTTTTAAACTGCCATACTGCTGCTGCGGATGGATTTCGAGGCATGCATGTTTTGGTTGCCACTACTTATGTTAAGAATGTACTCATCATGATGAAAGTTGCATGGTGCTCAAGTGATTCTCGGCCCAACAACATATGTGCATGTCTGCGTATGCATACTATTGTGTCAATATTGTGTTTATGATTGGTCTCTGCATGCTGACTCAGCAGGTCTTACTTTTTGGCCTCTCTTCCTTCCGCTCTCAACTCTCTCTTCCCGTTGCTTGAATGTGATCAACAAATCTCTCTCATGTTCTACTTTTAAAAAAATAAAAGTTTCCATGAACACGACAGTACAAAGTGAACGGCTGCATATGCAATGGTCATAAAAAGTCTACACACCCCTGTTCGAATGCCAGGTTTTTGTGATATGAAAAGAATTGACCATGAAAAATCATTTTGCAACTTTTTCCATCCATCCGTTTTCTCATGCACTTAACCTGACAAGAGTGGTCCATTAACCAGCCATGCACGTTTTTGGAATGTGGGTAGAAACATTACAGCGCTACAATTGTTTTGCCGCTCTTTCAGATCCCTTTCCCGAAGTCTTTACAGCATAACAACTGCACAGTTAATATTGCACGGCAAATGTATGACCGGTTTTGTCTGCTGACATCCACCCTTTTAACCCCAATTAGGTGTGTTTGCGCACGGACTGCATTTATTGTCATTAATTGTGGCCAAATGAAAAGCTCAGCTAGATCTCTTTGAATTGCAGCTCATGGAGATTGTGTACTTTTACGGTGAAAGCCACATATTCCATCAGTACTGACACGTTAATAAAAGAGCTGCGAATTAATAAGCATTGAAGGAAACAGGAACCCTACAATTGTTTTGCCGCTCTTTCAGATACCGCTCGAAGTCTTTACAGGATAACAACTGCACATTTAATATTGCACGGCAAATGTATTACCGGTTTTGTCTGCTGACATCCACCCTTTTAACCCCAATTAGGTGTGTTTGCGCACGGACTGCATTTATTGTCATTAATTGTGGCCAAATGAGAAGCTCAGCTAGATCTCTTTGAATCGCAGCTCATGGAGATTGTGTACTTACCGTGGTGAAAGCCACATATTCCATCAGTACTGACACGTTAATAAAAGAGCTGCGAATTAATAAGCATTGAAGGAAACAGGAACCTTGTTTGTTCAGCCCAGGGTCGATTAAGCGCGGTTGGCGTCATCCGACAATCCACCGCATAGTTCAACAAAGTAGCAGCAATTTGCTTGTGCTGCATTAGCCTTGCACGCGCGACCTAACACAGAGCCAATTCTGCGTATTAAGCGTTCAACTCCATCATCACGACCATAATGACTGATTCCGACAGACATTGTTCTCCGTCCTTCGTGGAGAAACAGAAAATGTAAAACAGTCCCTCAGTCGCTGCGTTCTCAGGTCACATCTGGCGTTATGCATAAAGCCCTTGAGCTAGCGTATAGCATCATCAAACGTCGCTTCTAACACACGTGTACAGTCTACTCCCCGCTCGTATGGACGTCAGAACAATAAGCTAGAGGCCGCAATGAGCAGGGCTTTACTGCTTGGGAAAAGCAACAGGATGGAGACACTCGGGACGCAAAGAGAAGCGGCCTTCGAGCCTTTTTGTCTAAGTGCTTATCCGTAAGTACCTGACTTACTGTGGCAAAAACCTACACAGCTTAAAAGCAGTCAGTAAGAAACCGTCAGCACCTGTGAGAGAAATCGCAACATTGCTGCTCCCTTGGAATTCATTTTTATAGTTTTACAGATAATGTAGTTCTAAATTCACGGTAGTGAGTATGTTGTGTAGTAGCTGTTATAGACGAAAATGGACATTGACTGACAGTAAAAGAACTCAACTTTATTTGGGGAGCACTTAAAAAAAAACAAAAAATAATCACAGATGAATCATACTGCTGTCAATTTTCTACATATGAAATCTACAGATGGTCATTTGATTAAACCAGTGCTGGGTCGGCTGGCCGAAAGCCTAATGAAGCACCGACCTACATTTTCAAGTAGCGTCCTCACACCGCCAAAATCATCACTTTTCAGGAGACCCCAATCATGGCAAATATGTTCAACTTTTAACGTTGCATCATCAAAAAAAAAAAAACAAAACAAAACAAAACATTTTCATCACTTTAGATTGGTCAATAATTTGTACAAATGACACCCACACCTGGGGACTGACCAAAAGTATAAATTTGTGAAAAGAAAAAAAAAAGTTACACTTACCAAATTACATTTACATCATGTTTTGGCTCAACACCGGCAATTTAGAACCCAAATGAATACATTTAATCATCAGCATCTCTGCTGAGTAAGATGTATTTTCTTTTCTTCTTTTTTTTTTTCCTCAAATTATTAGATAAATATTGATTCTGAAATGCTCGAAATGACATACATGGCACATTAGCATGCTGTTATAGTGATGACAGCAATGTGATGGCAGTATTAAGGGGTGGGTTAAGTCGAGCAACTGTTGCTATTTGTGCAACAGAATAGCTTTGTGTTCCATCAAATTGGCCCAGATTTGTTACAGAAAGAAACAAGGCTAAGTAAAATCTTCAATCTTAGATTAGCTCCCTCAGCAAGCAGAACAAAGTCGTTTCTTTGTGCGAATAAAAAAAAAAAAAAAGAAACTAAGTTACCAGTAAATTTGGATGCTTCGATTTAATTTGTCTTAATCTTGGAATTTGTTTGCGATTGATCTGAGAGACTCCTTCAAAGAAAACTTGTCAATGAGAAGGATCACTGTGAAAAAGAACACTCGACAAGAGACACGTGCTCAACACAAGATCCACATTTACAGCAGCTCTACCTTCATGTGATGTGTTGTATTTATGATCATAACCTTTGGTGTCAGACAAAATATCACATTTAAGACATTTAAGATGTGTGATAGATCAAACGATCGTCCAGTATCCTTAATTTGGGGTGTCGGGGGGGGGGTGTGTCGGTCATCAGCCGATCCCTTAAAATAAAACCAATCCTGTCCACCGATCTCATTTCACTCCAGAGAGATCTGAAAAAGAGTCACCCCTGTCCTCTTCTGCTGTGAGATGACGAATAGGCTTTTCATTTTCATTTGAGAGAACGACTTCATTTGCAGTTAAAGCAAACCGTTCGTATTGTTCAATAAAACAAAATTGGAAGGTTCACTCAATGAACACTTCATTAGGTCCACCTACGCGATCCATACATCCATTTACTTCCACTTGTCCTTATTCCAGTCATGGGTAAGCTGGAGGCTATCGGCAGCTGATGAAGCAATAGGCAGTGTACGTGATTATCCTGAACAGAGTTGCAGGGAGTTGCTGGAGCCTATTCCAGCTGACTTCGGGCAGAAGGCAAACTACACCCTGAACTGGTCGCCAGTCAGTCGCAGGGCACCGCAGGGACCATTCACATTCAGATTCACAGCGATGGACAATTTAGTCTTCAATGTGCCTAACTTGCATGTTTTGTTTTTAATATGCCTGCATGGCAAAAACACACACAACCACAGCGAGGAAATGGAAACTTGAAACAGGAAGGGCTGAGCCAAGATTCGAACACAGACCTCGCAACTGCAGAGCAGACATGCTTTCCACTAGGGAACCTTGCCGATTGTATTTGGAGTTTGCACTGCCTCACTCGGACGTTTTTCCTCACAGAGTTGATCCGTCTAACCATTCATCCCTTTTCATCAGAGGGCAACATCCAAGATTCGAACGACAAATCTCAGAACTGAGCGGCAGATATGGAACCACTATTCCCTCTTGTCACTCAAGTAGCGTTAGGAGAATAAATGAAAATACAGACATACAAAAAGTGTCCTTTGTGTTGAGTGTGCATTTGCAAGGCCTAGTTTGGGGGTTTGGTGTGCACACTTCCTATCTTCGATCAGGTGACTGTCTGTGAGACCATAGTAGTGTCAAGCACATCCTTTTCCTGTATTTCTAGCCAACACTTGCTCTCCTCGCCACTGAGACCTGTTGTGTCTGTAATGTATATGGGGAGCAATTAATGCCACAATTATGGCTGCTACGGAATGGGTTTGTGGAGACAGCGGGGTGTCATGCGTGTATGTGTGTCTCACCCACCTTGAACAGACTTTCTGTCAGCCCCCGTCTGATCTGTGTCCACAAAAAGGCGCAAAAGAAGAACAGGGCGATCTCGGTCCAGGTGATGTATGCGTGATCCAGGAGAGTCCGTGTTGTGAGCTCCAGCCCGCACTGGCTACAATCTCTCCACGCTTTCAGCATGACGCTGGAGGCTCGGCTGATGAGCTCCAAGTATCCCGGCATGGGCTCCACATCCTCGGTCTGAGCGCCCATCATTGCGCGTCGCTTCGGTAACGGAAAAAAAAAACGGGAGGGAAAAAAAAGCGCTGGGAAAGGGGGGAAATGGTCCAAATGAGGGACGAAGAGATCTCTCTACTGTCCGGGCCGCGTGGCTAATCCGCTAACAAGCTTGCTAGCTGACTTAAAATAAAAAAGAAAAGCTTGATCTGACACCCCGCTGTCTTGGTCGGGTCGCCTTATTCTTTGTTGTCCATATTTTTACGGTATGGGCCCGTTCATTCTTCGGCCAGGGATGATTTCTTAACGGGTCTCCGCACACACCGCAGCGATAATCATAACAAAAATGTGATAATGTAAAAGGCAATTAACGGGAGCCATGGAGCACGGCGTGCAGGTTTCCTCTCACCATCATCCTCATCGTCATTCCGCTGCGCACGCGGACAATTCACCGGCAGAAGCGCGGCGTGTTGCTGTTTAGCTGTCGTGCTAACTTCAAATCATTCCACAGGAAAAAAAAAGACGGGCATTGGCAGTGGCTCCTTTAAGCCGGCTAAATCGCTATGACAAAGGCTCCCGAACGCCGATTACATTACAGTACAAATAGGGTCCATAAAGTGCAGCGTTGTGGCCTCCAGACAGCACGCGACTATTGTGCCGTTAGGACGCAACTACGCCGGGTGTCATCCCTGGACCGTTACTCCGCTTATATAACGGCTCTTGTCAATGTAAAAGACAAATAACGGAACACGAGCGACAAACACGTGGGGGGAGGAGGAGAGGAAACCCCAGCTGAACCGTCGATGGTCGATTTTAAATGTGAAATGCGTCCACGGCTGATGTGCGACGCTTAGGAGGAGGAGAGCCACGTTTATGCCAAAGAAAGAGGGAATTAAAAACCTAGGGGGGAGGCAGAGGCTCGTGACGTAGACCGCTATCTACACGCGCTGTCGAAACACACTGCAACACGTCCTCTCCTATAAGTGGAAGAAAAAAAAATAAGGAAGCCAAGTGCAGTCCGGCGTGTTTGTTTAACAAAAAAAAAAAAAAACAAAAACCACACATCCAAGTACATGTTGAGCTTTTATTAGAACTACAAAGGAATGTTACATCAAAGTGACTTTAATTATAAACATGAGAAATGTTCATGTTCTACGCAAGTGACCATTTGCTGTACACTGGCATTATGGCATCCAGAAATGTTTTTTGGGTTTTTTTTTTTGCAGTCTGCTATGGATTTCAACATGTTTATTGACGTGGTTGTGGTTTGCAGTGGTGTCGAACAGTACAGTTATTCTTGAGCGCAGTTTCCAATATTTTCTAACTGTACCGTAGCTAAATCCGATAACCCAAGCGAATTAGGTACGGATATTATGACGTAGTGCAGTTCAACAACAGAGACATCAAAGTGATTTGGCAGATGAGGAAAAAACACATTCTCAAACTATGGGCCATCAGCGCTGCTAAAAATTATGCTGACAATTATTTACTACACATAATTTATCTTTTTTTCATCGTTTGTCAAGCTAGGTGCAGAAAAATTAAATGATCTTTCACTGGATGGTAACCACTTCTGGTGACTTTTTTTTTTGTTGTTGTTTGGTACTCTAGTGATCTGTTGGACTTTTATAATACAATGTGCCTTGGCTCAATAAAGGTTGTGAAATACTGCCCTAGAAAGTAGTATTTTACAATTTTCACTCTTGATGTGGAGCGCCGAAGGTGATTTCCCCTACATCACTGCAAACTACAACTGCAAAAATAAACATTGTTAAAAGTAATACCCCTCTGACAGTGACCAATTATAATTTTTGGAAGAATTTCTAACACATTGGAAAAACAGTAATTGTGTTTTAGAATGAATACAGGAACTTCCATTTGCCTGGTTGTGTAGGTTTCATTTCGACACATTTTTTTCACATAAAACATCAAAATAAATCCGGGTTTGCATGTTGAAGACAGTGTGAAAAGTAGACGGTTAACTTGAAGGCCATTACGCTGTGGCGGTGGGAGTGTACTGCATCGCTAGCCTGTCAAACTCATTCTCCTGCAGGGGTGGGGATGGGGAGAGACAAGATCAAAAAAATAAAAAATAAAATTAATAAATCAAACTCAAGCAACAGCTGTGCATGGCATGAATTGTTTGGTAATGTGTAGTGTTTATGTACATTTGCAACATTGTGCAACTATATGTGTGATAAAGGCCAATGACTTGGGAGCACCTTTTGGCAGGGCTCCCAGAACGCCTGCAGCACTTCCACCAAAACAACAGGCCAGCTTAAGTAAGTTACACACACACCGACAATCGGCTCAAATTTGAGCATTCGCTCAACCTTGAGATCACTTGTTGGGTGCCTCTGAAAGATTATTATAATCATCATCATCATCATGAATGTTATTATTATTATTATTGTCATGTCATGTGTATAAAAACAACCAAAAAATTTGCAACCGCCAACTACTTAACTGATAAGCTAACAATTAGCCTCGCTACTCCGATGCCTTCTTCTACTCTTCTTTCTATTTTCCGTCAGTCTGAATGCCCTGTGGCACCACACTGCCACTCAAAGGCCAATATTAGTGCTTCAACGGAAAATGCATCTATGTGAGAAGTCACCACACATAACAATTCCTTCCCTTACATGTGCGCTGTTTGCCACATTTTAGAAATCAGTTTAGATGTCAACAATCGGTATGTGTGCACCGCACTTTAGCAACCCAAGTGCTGATAATCCAAGACAGTAATGATATACACATTTACAAGCAAGTAATTACACAAATCAGTCAAGTCAAGATAATGAAGAGCACTGAGAGTAAGACAAGTAGGTCACCTTGGAAAAATAGTCTTTGAGGAATGGATGGGCCCGGTGTGCATCTTTGAGTTGAGAGAGGTACCGATTAGTCACCTGTGGACAAATTGAAGAAGGAAATGGAACAAAAATGATTCGGAATTGTTTCACCTGAGGTATGAGCAGCAGCAAACACAAGTACAGTGGACAATCTGCAGTCAAGAACTCTAAATGTGGAATACACTGGTGTGTAACCAAAAGTTCTGGAGAACTACATGAATGTGAAACATTTGTTTTGAAATTAGAACAACCTGAAAGTCAACCGGTTTCAAGAAATGAATTGTGCTGGATTTTGGAGTTTAGACTTTTTGGCTCAGAAAGACAACAACCAACATCATAACACCATAACACATTACTTCCTAACCAGGGGTACACACGTATCCATTGCAGGGGGGGCGGGGGGACATGGAAACATAAAATCATTTGTTTCCAAGATGATAAATATACGTATATTCTCAGTCATTCCATAAGCCCTTCAATAATGTGTGCTGCAGCCACACTAAAATCAATCATAAAAAAAAAAAGAAAACGGCCAGGTGTCAGTTCAAGTGTCTCAGTGAAGCTCAGATGACTGATGAAAGGAAAATAAAGCTGCTATTCAGTGGGATCTGCATACTCTTAAGTGTATGTCTGTTTAAAGGAGCTCCTGTATTTTTAAGGTAATTGCTATGAGTTATATGAGTTATATCAAAGGCAGGTTGATTTATTTTGATTGCGTTGATGTTTTTTCATCAATTTATTTTCAAGGCAACATTTATTTATTTTTGTTTACTCTGAGTTAAATGGAAGATGGTGTCTTAGAATTCAATGTTTCAAATTAAGAAAATTGGTTATTTAATAATCTGTTGTTGTATGTTCTACTATCAACACATAAGAGAGCGTGACGGGTTACACACAACATGACAAAGTTTTGGGGTTACACAAGACAAAAAAAGACTGGGAACATTCACACTGGCCATAACATTAGGTACGGGGCAGTTTTAACTACCAAAGTGAGGTGGCCATTAATGTCACACTGCTGTCATTTGCAGTAATGTCAAAATGTAGTGCATCACACTGAAAGTGTTTCCTATCTGTTTAGGTCACTTCATTTAACTTTATGATTCAAAGCAATCAATACCTCTAATAGTATCAATCAAAGCAAAGGCAGAATTCTTGCACCGGACCTCAAATGATTGTGCAAGTGTACCTATTAAAGTGTCCGCTAAGTGTTGCACAAAGCTTCAACCTTGTAAAAGATGTAATCAGTAGTTATCTCGGTGTAGTGATGGCTCAAAGTCAATGTTCACCACTCCGCTGCAATACTATCGAGTCTTTATCTTATGAACGTTTGTAAGAGTACAAAGCACGGACGCAGCACTTAAACCCAAAGATATGATGAGACGATGCCTTCAATGGAAGGAAGAAAATGAAATAATGAAAATGCGTGGCTAAATGCCTCTGGGTGAAAAGTACGTCATTAAGTAACCAAAATGGAGGCACTGCAATAAGAGTGTGTTCATCAAGAGGAAATGACAAAACGTGTGGCTGCAAAAAGCAACACTTGGCTCACAAGCTTAAGGTCCAAAGTCTCACCTCGGGGGCTTTTCCAAGGTGCTGAGTCAGCACTACCAGGTTGATCAACGTCTCAGGGTGGCTGCTGTCCTGTAAATGAAGATTAACAAAGAAAGATTTACATTGTGCGATTTATATTCCGCCACAAAAGTGATTGCATTGCATTTTGGCCTGTTTAGTTCAACATAATATTGCAAAAGGTTAAACACCGAGGGAATAAATTTGCCACCACCAGCATCACCCAATCATGGCATCATAAAACTTTGTGAACCTATTAACAAAGGTTCTATCTGTTTGCGCAATCAAAGTTAACTTGACATGAAATGTCAACCACAAATGTGCATCCTCAATACCCATTAGTCATCTTGTCCATCCAATTTAATTTATGGCAAACGCTTTGGCGCCCTCTGTTGACCCGATAGCGACATCAAGCTTGTTGCACACGTATCGGACTACCATAAAGCATGGGAACCTTTTTTCCCCTGCTCGCTCATTTTAAGAAGTCTTCTGAGGGCTATATTCAATACCGGACAGCATATGAAAAAAAAATCTGTTCTCGCAAACTGTTGAGCAGTTGTTGAGTAAACCTTTTCGGTTTCGAACAGTTCCTCCAAAGACTTAATTTAAAAGAGGACAAATGTTTTTCGAAAAACGCTGATAAACATTCAATATACAGTATAAAAAATGGGGGTAAAAGGTAAAAAAAAAACAACAAAAATAAGGATTTTTTTTTTAACAATCCCTGAACATGCAAGTCCATGAAAAAACACTGATAAACATTCAATATACAGTATAAAAAAATGGGGTAAAAGGTAAAAAAAAAAAAAACCCAACAAAAACAAGGATGTTTTTTTTTAACAATCCCTGAACATGCAAGTCCATGGGTCCCAAACCACAAGTGTGCAGGGGTTGACTATATAATAATATACAGTCATTAGGCAGTGATGGCTTTTCTCCATTTTCTTTGCAGGGAGGCTGAGAGTCCCCAGAAGTCTCCAATAACAGAAAGTCACTAGATATGTTGTTCATTGCTTTTCTTTTAAAAAATTGCCAAGTATAGCTTGGCTGGCAGCTCTGAGTAGCCGTTCACTATATTATATGTACAAGCGCTGCGCCTTGTCTGTTGCATGAGACATACCTACCCACCAAAATGGCATGATTTTAACCACGGGGAAAAATTATCCAATTATTATCCAAATTATCCAAGTATCATTCAATGTGGGGATAAAATAAATAAATCAAAAAGCTACCTCAGTTCAACTATGTAGTCATACAGCCCCTGTGGCATATTAATTGAGGGTTATCAAAAAGTGACACAAATTGGCTCACTGTACGTGTATGGGCAACAAACTTTAGTCTCGCAAACGTAACCATTCCATCGAACCTTATCGAGTGCCTCCTGAAGCACTCCCTCGGCCTCCTCCCACTTGTTCTGAGCCATGTAGCAGGCCGCCTGCCCATTGAGAAGCAGCAGCGTCGAGGAGTACTTGTCTGACATCTCCTGGAAAATGTAGTAGGCGTCTTGCAGTTTCTCTCCACCCTGGAGCCACGGGCAGAGGGCCATCAACAGTGTGCAGGAACAAAGTGTGAAAGGATTCAGCAGATGAAGAGCCAATAATCCGCAAAAATCTTGGCTGTTAAACTGAGCTTCTTGGTACTGATCTGCTCACCACCGCCAAATTAACCCAAGCAGTGGCTAGCTGGGTTAGTGTTGCATCCTCATCTTGCTCCTGCATCTTCTTCAGCTCCTTCCTGCCAGAGAATATAGTTGTGATGATTAGAGGTAACGAAAACGGACTTGAACCATTGTCATTATTTCAAGAGGCCTCAAATGGCTTATTTTGTCCTCTGCTTCTTCTCTAACTTTTTTGCCATTTTTATTGGAAAAAGTTAGACCACTGCCACGACTATAATATAGTGGTAGAGACTTCAATGTAGCTCACATTTGGCTTTAAATTTATTTTGTTCTTTGTGGCTTTACTCTCCATTCTTACGCCCAAATAAGGACTAAAATAAGGTCGTGTATTTATGGGAATTCATTTTAAACATGGATTTTTTTTTTTTGCAGGATATCTATAAAACTAAATTGACAAATTGGCCATCATTCACAGCTATCGTTAGACAGTTCTCTGACTTCTTACCTCGCCAAGTCAACACGATCAAGACTCAGCAGCACCTGAATTGTCATGGCCATGCTGAAAAACAAACAAGTTACAGTAAACTACATCAGTTTGATGTTCTTATGTTCAACTTGCAGAATGAAAACAGAAATTCAGTCAAAAGCATTCATAAAATGTCCAACTTATAGGTCCGCCGCCCACTGAACAACTCAGTCGAAGGTGACTGACGTGGTGACGGCTTTCGCACATATACCAACCTGCAGCAATGGAAAAACTTCCTTTCAAGGCCTGCTTACCACTCCAGGCTTTCCCCTTGATGCAGAGTCCTGAGAGCAGCATCAGTGTTCGCCGCATGGTGGTAGATGGAAGCCGCCATGAGGAGGAACGTGGTGTTTGCAGCATCCACACTCTTTGCCATTTTCTTGTCGAGATCCTCCACAATGGCATCACTATGTAGGAAAACCAACAGTAGAGGATGGCAATTCATTGATCAAGATGTCCTGTAGTTCAAGCACTGAATTCTCACTGCATCTGTCAGCGTATAATCTCTGTGAGCCTTGAATTTTTGTTTGCATGCTACACTTTTGCAGAAAAATAATGAGTTCAGTTGACAGTAGATAGACCAATAAAATTACATCCTAGTAAGTAGTAAGTTAGAGCTTACTAAATTATTGTACCTTTTTTCAAATTACGAGCATATAAACCCTCTAGGTTAACAAACATTGTTGCCATAGTGTTTACCGTTTGCTTTCACTTGACATATATTCTGCAAACATCCTGACAGCTTGAAGCTCAGGTGCAGAGTTGGCCTTGATGTCATCCATGACGACAGCATACTTTTTCTATAATACACAACACGAAAGGTGAAGATGAGCAAGCTTTTAATTCTGCTTTTCGATATTGAGTGTCACACAAGTGCTCTGCTCACCTGGGCAATGTAAGCTCTGTACAAGAAAGTGTCCCTTTCCGTCTCTTTTTCCGGTGTTGAATTCTTTCGAAGAAAAAAAGAATAAAAGCAGCAAATAGTTTGAGCTGAATGCCAGAACTACTACGTTTTACAGTTGCAAATTCGTTGGTTACGTTCGATTCAATTGGGTTAGCCAGAGGATTCCTAAGGAGCAAGCGATTGTACTTAACGCTGTTAAACCCTACTCAAAACGAGACGTACCTTAACCTTCTGGGCTTCGTTGATACATTGTTGATAGCTGCCGATGTAAAAGGCATTTTTCACATCGAACAGCTCGTCAACATCAGTCTGTTGCGCCGCCATGTTGAACACAACGCTGCTTCCTGACACGTAGCACAAGTACGTCACTTCCTGGCTGTGAATTGCACTTTGTGTGGGATGGAGTTCTAGGCATTAAAAACATCCTCTCTGTCCATTTTAACAACTTTTAAAATTCACATTTTGAATTTCAATCATAGTAGCCAAAGGGAAAAAAAACAACTATCCCAACAAAAGCGGTTCCTCCTCATGTTCTCTCGCTCGCTTTATTGTTTTCAGTAATGTGACCATTGAGTAGAGGGCGGGGCAAATCAAGTTTAACATCTGGATGGTGATGACAATGGGCATTTTCATGTGGGCGTGGCTGGCGACATTCTGTGATTGGTGAAGTATAAGAGGGGACCTATTCAAGTGGCAGCTGCCACTCAAATTCTACACGGGGCATGTCAACACATTCACACACAGGAATGACAGGTTATATTCAGTCATATGAATGTATTTCCTTCTTTTGGATGATGCTTTCATGTGGCATACTAGACACTTTCAATAAACTATTTGTCGTATAGACACTAACACAGTGGTGGGAATTTCACTCCCTACAGTTGGTACTTTCTAAACGTTACTTTGTTAAATTTGTACTTTTTACTTTTTTATCTTCCTACATGACGTAAAAGGGCAATATCCATTGTTTGATTGATTGATTGATTGATTGATTGAGAACTTGTAACTTGCGATCACCAAAAAGCCGCTGATGATGACGTTTGATTTCTTGAGCGCCACAACTTTCTCCGTGCATTCAAGTCTTTCTTCAAATTGGCCGTTCTAGTTGCCAACCTTTCTCTTCGCGGCAGGTTTTGAAAAACACATACCGGCAACTGGGACTGGGTGACCGGATATCTATCATTACTTTCCAATTGGTGTCACTTTAGAATTACGTTTCACCAAAAGCTCTTATTAACATGAACTATGACAGCAATTAAGTGATTTAAAACAAATAACACATACACACAAAACCCCCAGGACAATGACACACTTAAAAAAAGTGTGGATTGCGCCAACATTGAACTTTGATGTCAAGTAGGGGAGCCACAAAATAACATATATAATAATATCAAATGGCCCTTTGGCCAGAAGAGACACTGCTGCGGCCACAAAATAACATCAAATGGCCCTTTGGCCAGAAGAGACACTGCTGCTGTTTCATCTTTTGAAAGAGGTATATTTTTGCTAAAATGTAGCACGTCATTTATTATAATGATTTGCATTATTACTATTTTGGTATCATAATAATTATAAGGACTATTATTTTTTTGTTGTGTTTGGTTTTATCTTTGTTGGTGTTATTGTTTTAAAATGTTTCATGCCTGATTTTTATTTATGTAGAGCACTTTGTTTTTGAGTTGAGCTGAGTTGTAGAGTAACGATATGAAGGAACATTAACCGAGGACTATCAATGACGATGGTGCAACAAATTTGCAGAAACAAGCTATTCCCCATCCTTCCCCTTACTGAAGACAATTGTTTGATGTTGTCAGCAAGAATAATTTGTTGTGTATATGTGTCTTGAGCCAACCTAAAAACCACCAGTGTCTGCCTGATCAAAACTTCTCCATTTAATCTGACCTCCCCCCCCCAAAAAAAACATACAAGACTTCTCATGAACTTATTTTGCATTTTTTTGTTTGCCAACTCACAATGTCCGCTAGGCTGTGGGAATACATTTTGACAATATAAAAGCTTGAGCCTAGCCTTTTTTCTTCTCTGCATGAGCACCATGAAAATTCATAAAAGAGTAGTTATTTTATTTTTTTTCATGTTCTTGTGCCCAGTTAGCAAAATGGGTATTGCCTACAGTATAATTCACATTTTTATTTGGACACATACATTTCAGAGTCTGTACTTTTTTTAAATTTTTAAATAATTAAAGGAGTTGAAGCTGTACTTCCACTAAGTATAGAGTGTGAGTACTTTGCCACCTCTTATTATAGATTGACATAGCATGTTAATACAACCTCCCGATTCACAATTCAGTTTTAAATATTTTTGTTTACTTATTATTTGACTTTTTGATAGGGATGCCAGAAAGGTTATAAATTGTTGAATATTATTCAAGGAGCCTTGTATCTGTATAAGCAGCTAGTCTCCTAGATCAGGGGCTTCAAACTTGTCTTCATTATAGGCCACAAGCATAAGAATGTGTTATCGTTATTGGTGTAATTGTAGGTCAAAAATCACAATTTGGCACTTACCTTAGGCGTTGTTTGGTTCCCATTGGGTACAAAAAGCAAATAACGTTTTATTTGAAACCATTTTAGTTGTTGCTTATGTATTTATAAAATATATAATACATCTTTTGATTATCATTTGCAGAAATAGAAACAGATTTAAAGACACTTAAAATGAAACAATGGCTTAAATGTTTTTATTTTTATTTTATTTTTTTAATAAAGTGCAATATTATCAGTGCAACCACCGGTGCCACATAGGATCGCGCACTTCCGAACCACATGTATGATAAAAATGCCATTTATGGGCAGAATACAAGCATATGTGCAAAATACATGTTCTTATTATATTTCACTTTGATAATACATTTTTCAGTGCATGTATAAAAAAAAAAAAACAGTACTGTATCCACTACAACAATTTAAAAAATATTTTGGCTATTTCATTTATCACCATAACCCATCCCAATCCGTTTTCATGTAAATCATCTACGAATTTTCTGTGTCTCGAACCAAATAACCACACTACTATATTCGATAATTGCCCTTCATCTGATTGTTATCATGTTTATAATGGAGAGCTAGTTTTGAACAGAAGGTGAAAAAATTCTTAACACTGTGCAGAAATATAGGAAAACAAAATTGCGCGAAAATGATTTAGATCAAATGTATTGCATGTAAGAAAACTAAAACTAGGACATAAGAATGTTGAAGAGCAAACAGTTGTTAAAAATGAAATGCTAATTTATTGCACTTAAAAGTTAAATACAACTGAACTGTACTTGGGCAATATTTATTTCAAGTACCAATACAGGGTCACCTTTTTTTTTTTTTTTAGTCAGCTGATCGAAAGACACAAAATATAAACATATGTTTAATACAAATTGTGTGTGAATGGAAAAGTCCCTTCTCCCGGTTCCTGCTCATTGTTCCCTTCGTCCCGTTTCCTCTGGGAAATTTCCAGCTTTGGGACCGGGACCCTGATAATTGCTGGAAACCTCCATGGGGGCAGGGATCCGCTTGACCATCAATGCTCCTTTCTTTGGGCCTGATTGGGCCTTACTGACGCTCTTGTTGCGCCTCTATTGGCCGAAAACCACATCAATCTGCCCAGGTCCAGGTCTCCCCTCAAGTTTGAAACTTTTTTTTTCCTTACAAGCAGGAATCGGGTTACAACTAAACGAGCTCTGGCAACCGAGCTGACTTGCGGCCGAGGGAAGAAAACACTCTGAATAATTCACGCAACTGTGTTTGGCACACGGCTATAGAGAAGCGGAAAAGGAGCAACCGAGACGACATCAAGCCGAGAGACAACAAGCCAAAGGCGGGCAAACATGCTGTGAAACACGGTTCTCCGCTTTGCCGAGAGCGATGAAGACCAGATAGAGTTGAGATAAGTTTGGCTTGTGTCCCTCTGACCGCTCCAGTGTGGAGAGAGAGCAAGGTGAGCCCCTAGTCTCGAACGTTTAATGGTCGAGCGGCTTTTAATGAAACATTTCATCAACAGACTGAAAAGGCTCGCCTTTGTTGGTCGGGGGTCGTCAAAAGTTAACCGCTGTCAGATGAAGCCCACTCCTCACACGGTCGAGCAATTTAATCGGGGGCGTAGTTGTGTTTTGTGACGTCTTTTTTAGTACGATTAACGCATGGCTTGTTAACATATCGACCAGAACATGAAAGCCAAGTGCCACCGAACCTGACGCTCAACCGCGTTTTACTACATTGCAGACGCAAAGGTCAGACTTGTTTGAATGCTGAGAGGCAAGCATTTACGCTACATTGGTGGTACGCCAAAACCTCCTGTGAGTTAACTCTGTGAATGCTGAAAGAGCCAAGTTTCCACCCTACATTTTGTTTACATTAGATGTCATGCTTAGAAGTGTGTACAATGTTTGTGAATGCAGAGAATTCAAGATTCTTGCCAATGACGGGTGGAATAAAATCTTGTGAACGAATTCCTGAGAGTCAAACATTCACCAGCATTCATCAGTTGCTGTTGTGTGGCATAAAGAATGATTTAGTCAAATGTTCATGCTCAAGCTTAGATGCCAATGTTGTTGTGAGTCAAAAGTTTTGATTGTGTGAAGGTTGACAGTCAAGTTGTTGTGCAAATTTAATTTGATTGTGTGACTTGCCACTATCACACCAGTCCTTTGGTTTCAACATTTTTGGGGTGAATGCTGAGAGTGTGAGTCACAAAACACAACTTCAGGAAGGGCTGACAGCATTCATCGAAATGCTGCTGCTGTTGTGAGTCGAAAACCTTTTATCACATGAGGACTAAAAAAGCAAACTGTGTGATTCGTGAGAACCCCACGGAAAAAAAACAACTTATTTCGGATGAATGCTAAGAATCAAGCATTTTTGGTTAATGGTTGGATTTCAGAGACCCCAAACAAAAAGTGTTTAGCCTGATGTCTTTGAAGGACTCAAAGTGGTCAGATGAGGAAACAACATCATAACGCTCGCTTGCAGCCAGAGGCGTATTTGCCTCATATGTGGGACTGATATCTTGTTGTCCCCAATTCAATTGTCTCTTTTTCCTTTAGGTTGCTCATTTTTCAGTATTTGCATGTAATTTCTAAAGGAATTGCATATCCTAGGGAGATACTAGATTTGGTTATTTCCATGGTGCAGTTTGAACATGAATGCCTAATAAACGTGTGACAGTCTTGATATATAGTTCTGGATAGAAAATTCTGGGGACAGATGTCATGTATTTTTGTGTTGTTGGGAAATAAAGCGGGGCGGGTGGAAAGTGAAACTGCCAAGTGAGGGAGTTTGCTTCAAGATTGGCCCACCTTCTTGTGTTTGTTGTTTTTCAAAATAAAACAGCATGTCTGTCAAAAATTGGGAAATATAGCGGGGTGGGTGGAAAGTGAAACTGCCAAGTGATGAGGGAGTTTGCGTCAAGATTGGCCCACCTTCTTGTGTTCGTTGTTTTTCAAAATAAAACAGCATGTCTGTCAAAAGCTTTGCCATATTTTACATTTACTATGTACAGGTTTGGGGCCCAATATTTCAGACAATGGATGACTCAGACTGTCAGGACTGGATGGCACAGAGAGAGGATGCGTATTTTCTATTGCACCAGGCCATGATGTTTCGCATTAGATGTTGCGAGGAACTCACAGGAAGTGGAGGAAATGCAGAAAAAGACGAGTTTCGAATGAGCCTTATTGCTGCTGCAGGCCGGCTAATTAACTGCGTGTCCACTGAAGCCCGAAAATTTGCGGGTGTTTGCGACCGCAGAGAATGTTGCTGTTGTTTTTTTCTGTTTTTTTTTTTTTTTAAGGTTTGTTCAAGGTCGCAAAAAACGTTTGCTAACCGTTTTACCGGTCGCAAAGAAACGTGTGAACGGGGCATGAGACTAAAAGGCTCAGACATATGTTTTGAAAACACTGATATGTTTTGTAACACATTGCAGTGTTTACAATGTAAAGCTTTGCGCCAGAACAAGGCTCAAGTGTGGATGAATGGCCTCACTGTGCAGCCTGAGGGTCTGGGCAACTTGCAGTCTACGTTATCTTGCACAGCCTCCACAGACATGTCTGATGAATGGTGACTTTGGATTGAGGTTTTGGACTTCTTGTTAGCATCAGAGCTTTAAACAGTGGGGAGTTTCACTGCAGCTGTTTCAATTTCTTCGGTTTTCTTTTTGAGTCTTTGTTTGCTAAAATGGTCAACCAGGCACAAGGTGGAAGCAAATGTCACAAGAGTTCGAGAAACTCATTTCAACATCGATAGCCAAAATAGGAGTCAACAATTTGAAAGCAGTCACAGAGGAACAAATGGCCCAAAAGCCCGTGTTCCAGTCCCCTAGTCTTACACATTTGGGAGACTTTGGTTTCAAGAGAGTTCATTTACCGGTAGTTCTTTAGCTTAGCGATGAGCTGATAACCAATCAATGGATTGTTTTTACAAACTAAATCCACCCGTTTTTCGCCATCTCAGGGGGTGGCCATTTTGCCACTTTCTGTCAAATGAAAATAACATTACAGTAGCTGAGGCCTCAGGTAATGACCAATCACAGCTCACCTGTTTTCTGAAGCTGAGCCATGATTGGTTGTTCCCAGAACTGAGCGCAACTGTGATGTCATTTTCCGTCAACAGCAAGTGCAGCCCCTCAGATGGACAAAAATGGGTGGATTTTTCTGCTTAACTCATATTCCACAATGCAATATTAGTCACAATGTCGTGTTTAGACTAGTGGGGCTGCACTGATCATAGCATTGTCAAGAAAATTTTGGGGTTGACTTCCCCTTTAAGCAAAATAGAATGCGCTTTTAGGTTACAACCAGTAAAGGTGCTGTTGATTCACTCTCAACTAGTTTGTTGTAAAAAGAAGGAAGTTGAGCTACATCCATGGAGCGTTATTTTGCTTGATACAACATTAGCATTGAAACAGCGGAGGACTTAGATAGAGGCATTCTCATATTCCATTCAAAAATGTATCAATTAATTGTTCGTTTTCCTGTCGATTGAGCAAATTTGGTAACATTTGCATTGCCGTGTTTGCAAAAAAAAAAAAGCATAGTTTACATAAACATAATTATGATCATGATTGACAGGCTTTGAGCTGTTGAACAGCACAAAACAGTGATGATTTTATTTATTTAGTTTACGTAAGCTAAAGTTGTTAATTTAACTGGCAAGGCTCAAATAAAAGTGTCCATTTGTCATTACTTCCATGACACTTTGAAATGATAAAAGTGGAGTGCGGTCCAGCAAAAGTGCAATTAATCTGCTTATTTTATATTTCATCCATGGACGCGTTTTAATGAGCTTTTTTTTCTTGACCAATATTCATTTTTAGATTTGCGTTGGAGCTTCCTCCTGGTTCGGCTTCCAACATCATTCTGGAAGACGCTAAATAATGACGTGCAATAATGAGCCCTTAAGTCTAAACAAAAGCCGGTGGTTGGTGGGTCTCCTCTGAATAACTGATGATGCTCCCCTCTGTGCGACTTTAGGAACAGGACAATAAAGTCGCGCCACCATACTGCTCCCATGTGGTGGTATTATTATCATTAAAAGCAATGCGTGAAAGTGCTGTGGTCGTAACATTTGAGATATTGTTGCTGGAGCTAAGTGCAGTCCGAGGTGTAACTTATTGAGCTGACAAGTAAAGGCGTTTGACCCAGTTTTGCTAGCTTGTTAAGTTCAGCAGCTGGCTTCCAGTTTCCTTGGAAATCCACAACACTCCCTCACTCAGTGGCCACGGCATTGTTTCAAGCACAACCAGTAAGAGATGGAGGTTGGTCCTCCATCACGCTTGTTTTCGACAAACGTATCAAAATGTCACCGCCGTGCTCGTACAAACGTGACCGCTTGGAACAGAATTTTCTCAACAGTGGCTTTTTCATGAGCTGCTCGGACTGGTTCTGCTTGTCCTTGTTTACACAGCAGCAGTGGGACTCGAAGGTGTTAACAGAAGTGATAATATCAATTTATTTGCTATTCAAAGCCATTGGAAACTATTATTCCAAAAGACATTCATTGAGAATTGATTATTTTGCGAGTGAGTGAAACTTATTTTCGGACGAGAATGGCCTTCAGTGCTGTTCTCTGCCTATCTTTGAATATTGTTCAGTTCTGATGAAACTGCCGCGATGGCAACATCCACCCTTATCTCTCTGAAGGCATTCATTTGCCACACAGTCATAGCTCTTGCTATCTTCATTAAGGATGTGAACTGCTCTAGTCATCAGTTTGAAGCTTTGACAAGTGATATTTGCGAGATTTCACGGCTGTATTATCGCAAATCCAGCTGTCGTGTTGGTTCTGTATTAGGGCAATTGAGGACAAGTTTCCGAAATGGATTATCCGAGGCGTAATTATCAGTAAATCTCTTTTGCAATTCTTTCAGAAGGCACTGAATGGCAAACATTTTTTTTTCTTCCAAGAAGAAATGATATTCCGACAAGTCACTTGAACAAATAAACATTTATTGCCCTATTTAAGCAGGAGAAAAATCACGGCGCTCATGAAAGTAGTGTAGCCCGAGGCCATGAGCCTAGACCCGATATGTTCAAATTTAAAAGCCAACATTAACAAAACAAAATGCTGGCATAATCATTCTAGTTGGGGTTAAAATACAGACAGTGCAGCAGTGTAAAACGTTCTCAGTGCTTCCACACCAATCTCCTAATTCAATAGGTTGGGGCGTCATGCAAGTTTGATCTGAATTTGCGCCCCCTGCCGATTCCTTCCAGACACTCAAATGCATGGGGTGTCAAACCCATTTTCGTCACGGGCCATATTTTACTTACCATTTCCGTTGGAGGGCCATTATGACTGAAATCATACAAAGAAGTCAAGAATAACAATTTATTGAACTATTGTTTAAGTTACTGTCATGGGGTGTTTGGCAACAAGAAAATGTTTACAATATCTGTATTCTTTATTACATATGAGAATTTGAAATTTTGGTACATATTTTAGCAAGCCTTATGGAAGTTGCCATGTTTGATTTGCTTTCGCGGGCCGCATAAAATGATGTGGCGGGCCAGATCTGGCCCCCGGCCCTTGACTTTGACACCTGTGCTCAAGTGGATCAAAAGCCACATGATATATACAACGTCAGTAATACATAGTTGATGAGTCATGCCAGTGACTAATTTCGACAAGAGTGGCGAGGCATAACAGCAGTGTGACCTTTCTGTGCTGGTCCCGTGAAAGCACTCCTTGCTGTTCTATTAACCAACTTAACAAATTAGGCCGGGTGGGCTGGAGGTGAGGTAAAATTAGTCATTTATGTGACTGGCTTCTGCGGTGGCCTTAATTAAAATGTCATTGGCCCAGACATCAATCATTACTCCAGCACCAGTATGAATTCAATTAATGGTAGGCCTGCTATACTGTTGCTTATTAGAATGGAAATAATGCGTAGTTCCAACTCGGACTTGGCAGTCAAAGAAGGGAGAATGTACGCTGTTTGTTCTGCAGTAGAGCAAATCAGCCTCGAGTGTGCATTTTAATGCAAGAACAAATGTCAGCCAATGTTGTTTTGACCCTCGGCTATTGCGCTTTTATTATCCATGCGTATTTGTGACTTATGTTCCCACATTAAGGGCATCCGCTTGCAGCCACTGTCACGCGCCGTGTTTGCCGGTCCTCACATGTTGGCATCCACCTGTTGCAAGCAGACATCCCTCACTTGCCCTTGGGTCTAGTTTGGTCTAAATCGCCTCGCTGAATTACTCATCAGCGAGCCATTATATGCCTTTTTTGTTTTAATGATCGATTGTTCACGGGAACGTGACGGATCGTGAAAAAGGGCAACGGGGTCTGACGGCGTTTGATTGAGAGGCTGCCAGGTGGCGTAAGATTTGACAAGACTGCGTGGGAAGATGAGAAAGCGGGCAGTCAAATCACGCATGTCGAACTGTGCCCACACGTGAGCAACTTTTGAAGTCATCGCATGAATGTTGCACTGGGGCACGCATGCACGGGATATCATCCTGGTTAATGCGACGGTTAAAACGCAGCATCCGCGGAGAAAAGAAGCCTGTGACCAAAGTTGACGAGAGACGAAATTTCGAACCGGCTCTCATCCTCATCTCCAGCTGTTACGTTTGAACACAAAGCACGGATGCACCTTTTATATAACTAGCGCGATTGTCTATTGTTTCTCTCCGAGCTGAGGGAGGGGCGGGGGAGGGGGGGGATTATGTCATGCAGCCGCCGGGGCGGAAGTTTGTAGATGGGAGTTTTCTCATTCAGGATTTCTCAGTCGAACTTTAATCACGACCAAACATGCAGGCTCACTCTCGGCGCTCCCAATCATTGCACTTCTCCCTCCGAGTAATCCATCAATTTGAATTCAAAAGTTTAACCGTGTTGGTCTTCGTTCAGTAGATCCAAAATTGTCCGTTTTTACAACCCCCTTTTTGTGCAGCTCAAGTTGTAATCCAAAATCGTTCAATGCCCTGTCGCCTAATTATGCTCTTTACTATCCTTAAGCAATACTTTGCCCAACTCGCTGGTCACTGGCTAACTGTGGGGAAAATTAAAAATCAATCTTCAAGCAATTTAAATGGGATTGGAGACTCGCTCTGATTTCCTGTTTAAGTGCCACTGCGTATTGGGCCGAATAATGTTGCCCCAGAGGAGTCGTGACTTTTTGTGGCTGGAGCTCAGCTTACCTTTAGCGTTCATATAGCGTCATCGTGCTTCTTGAGACAGCAAATTAGCTCATTCTGGTTGCAGCCAAATCGTCCACTCCGTTTTGACCGAGTTGCCTTAAGGACACAATGACTTCAAAATCAATTCCCCAATCAGCAAAATTCTTTTGATCCATCAATGTCAATCTGCCCTTTTCAGCTGAAAGATCATTCGAGTTGTCAACAATTCATTTGATTATTGCCTCATGTTTTCCCAGCTAGGCCCTTGTTGAAGTGTTTCCCCCGAGGGCTTTGATATTTAAATTTAATAATCAACATGGAAATAACGTGTGTCTCGGTGCCTTCGTATACCGCCCGCCTCCGCTCCCCGTTGATTGTGATTGTGCGTCTGTTGAGCTGCTTGACGTTCTGCTATTTTGTATTTATCAGGCCGTTCGCGGCGGTGTTCCTTCATGTTTTTGAAAAGATGCCGAACAAAAGAGGAGTGATTTTATTTTGATACACCCGGGTTTAAAAAAAAAATTTAAAAAAAAGATTTCAGCTGACCTTAATATGCCGAATTCATCCGTTAGCAGAAAAAAAAAACAGCGGATGTCAGCAGCTGGTTATTGGCTTGTTTGTGTTTATGGAGTGCATAATTCTGAACTGATTGATGACTCTTGAGAATGTTTGAGCAGTAAATCCTCCTAAAGACACTCTTCCCTGCTTCAAGGACTGATGTCTCTTTCCAGGGTCACGGTGCCCTGCTCCACGTGACAGGACTTCAAGCCAGAGTTCCCCCCCCAAGAGCTTGCAAGTCGTGACATTTTCTGCTGCAATCAACCAAATCACTCGTAGCATAAAGCGTCATGGAAAGTCCTTCAAACCCTCCCCGAGTGTTTGTCGTGGCAAAACACAGGAGGGGAAACATTCCATATTGATTCAGTCCCTAAGCCGGTTGGTTTTGAGCCTCCGTTTCATCGTCTGGAGACTTTCTGCCCTTTTGTCGTCGCCTTTTCATACCTCTGTAGATTTCTGACTGACAAGCGAGTGCTTCTGACGCAAACGCAAGATGCTTGTTCTGCTTCGTGGTTCATATTCGCGTCCTGTTCACATCCATTCGTCCCAAAATATGCGCAGCCAAGAGTGGGTTTTTTTTTCCTCTTTACAAGCCGTGTTGTTTTTGGCATCACTTCCTTTGATTTGTTTTTGAAATCTTCTTTCTTGCCTCACTTGACCGGTAAGCCCGTCTTTTCTCACAGCCCTTGAGCAAGCTGTCTGCACCTGGATGAGGGCGCGAGTCCGAGGCTGCGACTCCGGTTTGCTGCACTATCACAAGACAGCCCGTCTCATGTGGGAGGAGGTCGGGTATCACTTCCGTGAATCATGTTTTCTGCTATTCTTTAACTGTGTACGTGACTGCATCTGCGGGCTCCTGCTGTTTGTGTTTCCCTGCCATTTTCGACAGTGTGGGTTGGGATGATCATTCCGGGACGTCTGCGTATAGTGTCTACGCCATCTTGCAGTGGAATGGCCTTTGAATTCTGCTGCCACTGCACAGGCCCTTTGAATAAACTGAAGCGGACTGAGACATCGTGGCGTCACCGAGGGGAGGAGTATGGTGACATAAACAAGACATTGGGAAAGCATAGCAGAAACATTGTAGAGTGAAGAAACACTGAGGGGATGAAGTGGGGGGGGGGAGACACGGTGATAGAGACAGCAGGGACAAAGTGGAAACACTTTGGGACAAAAAGAGACGGAGTGGAATTGCCAGTGGAGACAGACGTAGATGTGTCGTGAAGAACGAAATTGGGGACGTAATGGCGCTATGGAAAAAAGGCATACCGAAGATACGCGGAGATGTTTATGTCGCTCATTTGTGGGAACAGTGAAAGTACACAGGAACACTCAGGGCTGCTTTGGATTCTTGTGTCTGTCTGTCCTCCCGGTTGTCGAGTGGTTCGCGTGTCGACCTCATAGCGCAGAGGTACCGAGTTCGATTCCAGCTGCGGCCTTCCTGTGTGGAGTTCGCATGTTCTCCCTCGTGCCTGCGTGGGTTTTCTCCGGGTACTTTTTTTGCGTCATAGAGAGGAGGAGGGTCTGATGCAATCTGTGAATGAGAATAAGCCATTTGCATTGTAAATCATGTAAAAAAAAAACGACCAGTAGGTGGCAGTGGTGCCTCACGTGCTTGAAATGCACGCTTTTACAAAAAAACTCTTTTTCTCTGTTTTTTTGCCCAGGAATCGCCGTTTTCATGAAACTTAGCCATTTTGTAATGCCGATTGCTGAAGAATGGAAAAAGATAGAAACAATTTTTTTTTTCTGCTGAAAGAAGAGAGTCCAAACTTTATTTTGGTTGTTTATATGGCATTCGAACCAAATATTCTGTGGGCCTTGCAAGATCAGTCAAAATTCAATAAAACGCTGGGATTGAGGGGGTTGCTCCAGTGAAAATGGCTGGAATTGAATGAGTTAATACATGTACAGCTTTACAGAACATGAGCAGTGTGTACATGCCTCCAACAATTGTATTCGTCATGTCACTATCTAGAAGAAAAACAGCTGTGAACACCAAGTATCAAATTGTGGTATCCCTCGCAGAGATAAAACTTGGAATGAGCGAGGAAAAAAAAACAGACGGCACACAAGAGACTCACATCGGCGACGTTTGCCATCGCACGACGACATCGGTTAGGAAAAGTTAACTCTGTTACATTTTCAACTGTACGGCTCAAAAAAGGAAGTACGTTTTCATCTCGCTTTGACCCGATGACGTTGTCCACAAAGGTGAAGGAAAGGTGTTCCTGTCTGCTGATTAGCAGAGTGCCAAGTGTGGGGACAGAGTGAGGAAATCACGGAGACGGCGTCCTCATAGCGTATCCACCGTGTCTCGTTTGCTCACGGTGGAACTCTGTGTCGACGTGGTGGATACAATGTAGAAATACAAAGAAGAGACGATGCAAACACTGTAGGGGCATTAGCGGGTGCACCGTTGAGACGTTTTGGGGACATGGCGGGGATACTGTCGAGATCTTGTGATGGACGTCGTCGAGATAAAGTGGAAACGTGGACACGCTGTTGAGCCATTGTGATGACAATGTGGGGACACTGTTGATACATTTTCAGGGGGACACCGTGGCCAGCGCGTCAGGTTCACGCACATTGTAAGAGGATAGATGTCTGAATTTGGCCTGAAACACAGTCATGCTGCTCCAGTATGTCACCAGGAAACGTCCTCCATCCAAAGCCTTTTCATCATTCTGAGCTCTTGTCCCGTGGGGAATAGTTTTTTTTTTTTCTTCCCCCTGTGAAGTCTTCATTTTTCTCTCCGTAGGGCAATAGATGAAGGGAGGCAAAAGCCATATTGGATCATATTCCATCCTCGCAAGATGGGACATGACGTACAACACTCTTAGGTTGAAAGTGTTTGTATTTGTGGTTATGTCCTCCTTTCCTCATCGTTTTTTTTTTTTTTTTTCCCCCTTTTGCTCATCAACAAGCTACACCGAGTTGACAGCTTTAGATGACAGCAGTCCCTGGCGAGGGCGCATGAAACGGAGCAATGTGAATCTTAAGAGACGAGGTTGTGCAAACATGATCCATTATCGCGCTTTGTGACACGGGTGATTCATCCTTCAGGAAGGCTGCGGCGATGAGGTTAATACTTGGTCTAAGTGTGCCGCAAAGTGACTCCACTTGTGTCATTAAAGAGAGGGGATCGTGACTTATCGTGCATAATGAATGCGAATTCAGTGTTGTTGTTTTTTGTTGTTGTTGTTGGCGGGGGGGAGGGGGGGGGGGTTGTGTTTTTTTATGTCCCGTCGGATCATTAGCTTCCTCCTTGTTATCTGTTTCACACACATTGCATCAGTGCAAGGATATCCGGTAACAAGTGCAGCCCGACGCTGAGGTGCTAGATAATCTTCAACGCGCAGATGCAAAGAGAAAGGAGAGATGTGAAAGTCGATTCGGCGGGGGTCTGTATATAAATGACCCCTCGTTGAACACCTAGGTTTCCCTCATGCTGGCTTACAATTGATATGTCGCACCTGACTCCACCGGCAGTAGCGTTCAAGCCCTCCTCTCTAGCAAAAAACTCTTCCCCTCGTGTCTTCCTCCCTGGGAAGCATCCTGCTGACACTCTCCAAGGAGTCTTATTGATATTCTTGGAGAGGCATTGCAGTGAGAAAGAGGGAGTGAAAGTCACACCGAAGCAGTACTATCTAATATAGGGAACTACTTGAGTTAAAATAAATAAATCACAATCGACATCTCATTTTGGCTGTAATTGGTCTCAAACATGCACGTGGATGGAGAATTGTTGGGAATTTCGAAAGACATCCATGTGGAGGGCTTGTGTATGACTCCAATATCGACTCAAATCATTGCCGCTTAAGCCGTGGCTCCCGTCGACGCATGTCAAGGCATATTCGATCGGAGCCTGTTCTACATCTTTGGCCCCAGGGAGGCCAAGGATGTTTCTTTAACTTCTTCGCCTTTGCTGTTTGTCTTTGCCGTTGCACGCAAAGCTGCACATTAACACTTTGGCGCAATGCCTTGCTTCCAAGGAATCCCAGTCAAGATCACGATTCTCCGATGTGAGCCCAAAACTGACGGTAACATTGTCGACGGTGCTGTTGGCAAATGTACTTTTACACTGCTACCTTGACTTGTGACTTCTATTTGATTCATGACTGCGCTTGTAACTCAAATGTTTGTTGTTCTCAAATTGTAACTGAGACTGTTTTTTTTTTTTACCTATCCTAAATCAGTAAAACTATTGAATCTATTAAAAGTAAAATACCATAAAATAAATCATCCAGAGGAAAATTAGCTTAAATTTTACAAAATAAAGGTAAATTTAAGTCCAAAAAAAAGTGGGCAACAAATGAATATAGCACTCTGTGTAATAGACACAAGTGAAAGTGTCTGTGTTGCCTGTGCAGCATTCAACAGGAAAAATAGACCTTATTAATGAATAGAATAAGAAAAACATCATTTTTGTTCGTCGCTAAAAGCAGGTAAATGTGTTAAGTCGCTATATGCCTAAAATACTGTCATGCAAAAAGTCATCATACCACCCAAATAGAGTTAGCAAACGAACAGATCCATTTTGGTAGCTACACACTAATAATTCACTCGAAGCATTAGGATAAATCTTATAAAAATGTACTGAAAGAAATTGCATCCGAATGGTCATATTAGAATGGCTAAAGACACATTTCACACAAAAACAAACGAAAAAAGAAACGGTCTGTCAGCCATTAATGTGATGACATCCTCGTAGAACAGCCACAAGATGGCACATCGGTGACTGGTATCGTCAGCCTTTGTGAACACTCAATACATAGAAATAAGGGGCCCGATACTCATCCCTGGTGTCATTCCTCATCCATCCAAAGTAATAATATAGCCAAGAGTCAAAAATGTTCTTTGCAATAGTTTTTGCTACGTGGCACCACAAGTCTAAACACAGTATTTGTGTTTGTGGAATAAGAATGAAGAAGGCTAATCCAAGCCTTCCAAGGAGGCTGACATTTAATGCACTACTGCTGGCTGCTCTCAACGGCAATTGATGTCAAAGTGGCCACGGGCTTGCTGCCTTTCCAATGTTACAGCTCGCCTGTTTTCCCGGGTTTGGGCATGAGACGTTTGCAACGCGGTAAAACGGTGGGAACTGAGCGTGCCCTCTTGTGCAAAGACTAGTTCATTGCGAGCCATTCGTAACCTTGAAACGTTGTTTCGTCATAATGACACAGATTTGGACCCTGACTACGACCAGCTGATGTTGTGAAGTCCCGGGTAGTCATCGTCCTCATACCAAAACTGAAACGGACTGGTTTTCTTTATTTTGGGGCCATCTGAAGGCAGCTGTGGACTTCCACATACAGGAGAATTGCACACCTTTTTATTCATTCTCTTTGTGCTGACATTGAAAAGCCCTTCGGGGGGTAAAAAAGGGTTTTGGTTGCCTGTTTATTTTCGTGTACCATCCTCTGAGATCTGTGCGGGTGAGAGAGGGAGTTCACAGGGAAACAGATTCATTTTATTTTTCACAAACAGAATGTACAAACCTGAAGGGATGACCCACGGAACGCTTTGAGTCAGAGCTGCCGGCATGATGAGGGCAGCCGACTCATTTGATTTGGGCGATGGAGAGGAGAGGAGGGGTGGGGGGAGTGGTGACTGTGGATGCTGGCAGACGCCCTGACCCTCACAATTTCCCAGCCTCGCTATTTTTGAGCCGCGTGTAGCAGCCGCTCAAGTAGCATCATACATGAATCGAGCAACAGAGAATGAGTGACGCTTCTGTCTCCTGCTAAGTTCCCCCTTAAGCGCATGCGGGCCTCCGAGTGTGTTCAGGAGATGAGATGTCCACATGCATTATGATGACTTCTTCTCTAACTAGCTTGTAAGCCACCAGCCACAAGGTGGCGGGGTCTCATTTGAAAGCTGTCACTGCTCATTATCTTATAAAGACGAAAGATTTCGGCCCGGCGCTTAATGCGGCGTTTTATTTGCATCGGCCTCACACGCTGCAATTCTCGAGACCCATTTTATAGCACTCGGCACAGTTCCTCTTTCCTTTGCGATGAGCACATTTCTCTTCGGGGATGGGGATTGGACGACATTTCTTTGAGCAACAAGGAGGAAAATGAGTGATCAGTTTACTCAGTCGCGTTTCAAAGTAGTTTGTGTTTGTTTTAGATGGCACTAAACGGTGGATTTCCCACAAATTCACATTCCTATAGCAATCTTCTCTCAATATTTTCACGCAGTCTAAGAAATACTCGAGGTGATACCTAGACCGTTAGTCTTCAGCGGACTTGGGGAGACCGTAAGGGAAAGTCAGTTCAGCTTGCGAACGTCACATGACCAAACCCAAAAAACAAGGTGAGCAGCGATTGCTGGTTACTGGAGCCGTAAGCAACTGTGATGTCATTATTGGTCGCCAGCGAGTGGCAAAATGGCTGCTCCTGACATGGACGAAAACGGGTGGATTTCACCCCGGTAAAGGTCTACGGACTGGTGGTTGGAGACCCTTGCACTAGAGAGCCTTAAATCTTTTGTTCTTTTTCCGCACAGTGTGGTAAAATGGCAAGTTCCACAGACCGGTGGTTGGAGACCCTTGCACGAGAGAGCCTTAAATCTTCTGTTCTTTTTCCGCACAGTGTGGTAAAATGGCAAGTTTTTACAAAGGTCGCAATTTTGTATTTTTGTTTTTCTCACAACTTGCCGCATGAAGAAATGGACTGTTTAACTCATTCAGTACCAGCCAATTCTAGACCAAGTCTGAAAAGACATTTAAAAACGTCTTTGGGAGTGAATGAGTTAACTACCGATTCTAACTGAGCCAGGAAATGTCGTCGGCCGATTGTATCGAATGCATGTATAGCTTGTAACCATTTAATTTAACCGTCCTCTCTTGCCCACAGCGTCGATCATGGACTCCTTCAGCACAAAGAGCTTGGCCCTGCAGGCGCAGAAGAAACTGATGAGCAAGATGGCCACCAAGAGCATGGCGAACCTTTTCATCGACGATACCAGCAGCGAAGTGTTGGACGAGCTCTACCGGGTCACGAAGGAGTACACCCGCAACCGCAAAGAGTCCCAGAAGATCATCAAGAACCTGATCAAAATGGTGGTGAAGTTGGGTGTGCTCTACAGGAACAACCAGTTCAGTGGCGAGGAGCTGATCCTTGTGGAGAATTTCAGGTGGGCACCAAAGATCGCTCAGCACTTGATGAATACATTTCAGCGTGTGTTACGATATTATTAGATTAGATATCCTTTATTTGTCCCACACTGGGGAAATTTACAGCCTTCAGCAGCAAGATTGTGGGTAGAAAGAAGAGAAAAGAAAACACAGTTCAATTAAGTGCAATATAAATACAAACATGGATAAGGTCAATAATTAAGTGCAATATAATACAATAGTCACAGTACTATTCACATATGTTTTAATTATGTATTGATTTATGGCATAGGGACAATGCACTTTAATAAATGTGCTGTATATGCAGCAAAGTTAGCCTCTACTCCTTGCACTTATGTTAAAAAGTCTTATAATAAAAAAAAGAATACAACCATGGTATGAAGTTAGTTATATTAAACACAACACGCAGAATCATACAGGGCTCAGACTCTACAGGAACAACCAGTTCAGTGGCGAGGAGCTGATCCTTGTGGAGAATTTCAGGTGGGCACCAAAGATCGCTCAGCACTTGATGAATACGTTTAAGAGTGTGTTACTATCTTATGTATTGATTTATGGCATAGGGACAATGCACTTTAATAAATGTGCTGTATATGCAGCAAAGTTAGCCTCTACTCCTTGCACTTATGTTAAAAAGTCTTATAATAAAAAAAAGAATACAACCATGGTATGAAGTTAGTTATATTAAACACAACACGCAGAATCATACAGGGCTCAGACTGCCCCTACATTGGGCAATTTGCCACATTAATTTGAGAAAGTTTTTTTTATTTTTTTTTAATCTACTTGTGCATGTGCGACCGGTAAATGTGTCCAGTAATTCATTTTTTTTTTTAAATTGAATATTTCTTGTTGCTGACAAACGTATGCTCCACCCTTATCACTCATGTAGTGAAAATGAGTGGAAATGTGAATAATTACTTCATGAGTTGATTTCCGGTGTGCGCCCGAAAAATTTCAGGTTAGGCGCAATTGTGCTCCTAGTTTAAAAAAAAAAATTAAAGTTAGTCTGGAGCAAGGCCATAATTAACACAGTGAACAGAATATTAATGTGAATAGAAAGGAGATGACAGGTACAGCGATTAATTGGCAACTAATTAATTATCAAAGTAATCAATGGTTCAATAAGCGATTAATTGTTAAGAGGTCTTGTTGAATTTAAAATGGTTGAAATCTTCTGAATCTCTGCTTCACTACGGTCAATCCAATTTCTGTAGGTCGTCACGGAAGCAGACTACCTTCGGGTTGAATCAAAATCAAAATTTGCAAACATCTGCTTTTCGTTTGCAAAACAATCATTAACATTCGAGCTTTTTCTCGGAAATGTTACCCACCAAACCAGTAACTGAATCTTAATACTGGATATGTTCGTGCATTTTCTGCACTGTCACTTTGGAGTCAAATTTTATATTCCATTCATCGATTGACAAAATAATAGATTCATCAGCGATTATAATAACTGTTAGTTGCAGCGCTATCGGAGATCCCTCAAAATGGAACATTCCAGTTACAATACAGTACTGTATTGCATAAAATGAAGTGCGATCAATGTAAAATAAAAGATGGACTAAAATCACATTGTACTCTTATTTATTGTTCAAAGCATGCCAAGCAGAAGCAGGAAAGCAGGCCCATACGTAGACGGTATTGTCCAATCACTTATCTTGCCAAGCCAAACTTTTCCAGGTCTTGAGCCAGTCTTTTGAGTCCACATCCAAATCAGCAAGCAGGTCGTGATACGCCAACGGGCTTATCCGTAAATGGAGCAAGGAAACCACGATAGCGTGTATCCTATTGACGCGCTCGGCCGTACTGCCATTGTTTTGCCCGTAGCCCGAGCAGATGCTTTTTGTCTTGACTTCATCGTCCTCTCATTTAATCAAACAGGAACTATGTGCCCCCTACCCAAAACATACTCAACTTGTTTGTGCAGTCGTTATCCAGCAAGTCAGGACGCTTGGTTGCGTAAGAACATTGTTTTTCCGCTATATCGGGGTTCACCGTTGGCATCCCTGCTATGTTGCTTTTTTTTTAAGTGATTATAAAACTCCACTTATTTACATTAGTGTCCTTCCCATGTGGGAAAGGAGAGCACAGTCTCAGGTGTGCGGTTTACTGGACTCTCAAAGAAGAGGAAGAACATAAACATCTTTGCACAGAAGCTGCTGGGGAGAGAACAAATGTGATACCTTCCCTTTTCGGTGTGCCAGTTAAGAGGCGAGCGGCGGCATCTTCGACCAACCGGAGTCATTTAAGGGAGGACCGGCTTACTCAAAAGTCAAAGGGGGCGGGGCCCAACAGGGTCCAATGGGACTCAACACAATTATTTCAATTTTCTTTTTATTAGGTTTTAAGAAGTTTGAGGCCTCATCCAGGCTTTCAAGACGGAATAAAAATCTTTTGGAGGAGAAGGCGTCTTCTTGAAGGCTCTCTGGTCTTTCTGTATCACGGCTTCTCATGTGTTGTAGTTGAGTCGGTCGGGAATAGCACTGAAAAATTAATTGAAACCGAATCGAAAATCTAGTGGAATGCAATTCGGGACCCCCCCCCCCCCAAATAATAAAGCAAAATCATTTGTTTTGGTCGATGGCTGGACTTGATATAGACAGTGGCCGAAGAGGGCTATCATTTGTACATAAAATATCTATTTTTTTGCAATACTATTGAGTATTTTTGTAAAGTGATGTTTGATTTTAATGCTTTTTGTTGTAGGTTGGCTTTTACATCTGCCCCAAAGTACTAATGATAACAATTAGCTTCATTTAGCTAACTCGGAGGCATTTACATAGTACAATGTTGTGCATTGTCCCCTTTGAAATAAATATGAAGAATGTGTATGTGTGTGTGTGTGTGTGTGTGTGTGTGTGTGTGTGTGTGTGTGTGTGTGTGTGTGCGCGCGTGTGTGCGTGTGTGTTTCGTCAATGGATGTGGTGTCTTGATCAGTTCAGCGCTTGAGAAGTGCAGTCCACCTGTTTTCATGAAAAGTGCAAAATAGAGTACATGATTCTATACATTTTCCATCGATGGATGACTAATCCAGGACAGACTCCAGCATCACGTTGAAAGTCTTTTGCAGAAACGTGGAAGCTGAATGATGTCGGGGAGACAAAGGAAATTGTTTTCTAGCATCGATGCTTACTGTCGGTGTCCAAAGTTTGATAAAGAAAACAACAAGGCAGCGGATTCTATTTTTAACCAAGTGATGTGACCGTGTCAGGACTGGAGACTGACAGCCCGTCTTTTTTTTTTTTTCTTGCCTCGCAGGAAGAAAGTCCACACGCTGGCCATGACGGCGGTCAGCTTCCACCAAATTGACTTCACCTTTGACCGCCGCGTCATGAGCGCCCTGTTGAACGACTGCCGCGAACTGCTGCACCAGGCCATCAAACGCCACCTGACGGCCAAGAGCCACTCGCGCGTCAACCACGTCTTCAATCACTTCGCCGACTGCGATTTCCTGGCCGCTCTGTACGGGCCCTCCGAGGTTTATCGCGCTCACCTGCAAAGGATCTGCAGCGGCGTCAACAAGATGCTCGACGAGGGAAACCTCTGACCACTGCTTGAGGGCCCCGCCCCCCCTCCTCTTCACGCCCGTTCCCCCTTTCCCACCTCCCATCTCGGATATTTTAAGTTTCAGGTGACAATCATAAAACTCTCAAACATTATAACACTGAAGTGCTTTTGTTTCGTTTTCTTTTTGTGTGTTGCCCAAGGTCTTTCGAGTTCCTTTTTGCATTTTGTCTCCAAGCAAACAAAGCCCATACAAATGAATGTAAAAGAAAACCGTATGGGAGCGCGTGCGCCTTCAACACCTTTCTGCTCTTTCCAAGGGCACAATGCTCGCCGTCTCACTCAGTTGAGAAGAAATGAATCCCTGAACAGGCAGTTTTATCGCTGTAAACAATGGCTCGGAGAGGAAAGAAATGTCTATACCGTTTTCCCAAATACCCAGGACATAAAAGCTCTTTTTTTATATATATATATATTTTTAAACTCCTATTGCACTCAAGCCTGAATAAGCGCTGTACTGTATTTTTTTTTCCTGTATTAATGCAACTATGTGAACTAGAGCAGATTAATCCTGCTTAGCCTGCATTTCAAATATCTAAACATCTTAACTTCGTAGTGAGGCTATGGGCTTTTTGTTCCAAAGTCATCAATAAAGCCGCTTCTATTTTTTTCCTTTTTTTTTTTTTTTTTTTTGGAACAGTCTGGTTGCTAGCCAGCACAATGAAGATGAAGTATTTGGGTCGTAGGGGACCTGGAATATAAAAGAGTCGGCGCCGCGTGTGTTGTCTTTGCGCTGACTCAGATGTCTCTCACTGAGTCAACATTGTGACTGTAATAGACTGCGTGACGAGGCGATCTTCACTTCTACTACCCGCGTTGGCTCACGGGAAATCCCAATGACACCAAAGGTATAAGTCTGAATGATCCCATATCAATGACTCTGAATAAAGATGATTACCAATTACGTTTTCCTTAACGATATTCTCTCTCTCTCGCAAGAATCCAGCCGTAGCTGAAATCGCAAGACACAACCCAAGTGATGGTTTATGCGTAGCAGAAAACACACCAGCTGAGCGAAGAGAATTGCTAGTGGGCCAGTGTGCTCACCAAGAGCCCGTTTCTGTTGGTTGGCTTCTATAGTGACAAACGTGGTAGTTTTATGTGGAGGGGGGAAAAAAACTGGGCGCTTGATGTGAAGTGCACAGATATAATCAAGGAGCACGGCAACAAGAATTTAGGGCAAATCTTGCTTATTTCATTATTTTCTGATTGGTTTAGGGCATTTCCCATTCCATTTCTTTTTTTGGGGGGGTCAAAACCCCCCAAATGCATCAGGTATTGTCATAAGCTTGATATAAGACCCACACTCCCAACAAACCTGGGCATTTTTTGTCTGCTTGGTAGTCAACAAAGTAAAATAAAAATACTGGCAATTCAATATAATTTGACACATTTTTGGTCCCGACCCAACAAATTTGGGAATACGGGTAGAGGAAGTGAAGTAGAAGTGGTCTGACGCATATCATCATAGCATTCGCTTGATATAAGACACACACTCCAACAAACCTGGTCATTTTTTGAATGCTTGGTGGTCAACAAAGTAAAATCAAAATACTGGCAATTCAATATAATTTGACACATTTTTGGTCCCGACCCAACAAATTTGGGAATACGGGTAGAGGAAGTGAAGTAGAAGTGGTCTGACGCATATCATCATAGCATTCTGGGGAACAGAACAGCATGATTTCCGGTGCGAGGCTTGAAAGCGTGCAGCCTAATGGTCATAATGGACCGGTGGAATCAGCTGGGGTTCATTTGGCAACGATTCCAAAGAAATTAGCTAAAAAGAAAGCTGCGTGTTGAAAAGTCCGGCTGGGAAAGAAAGAAAAAAGTGAGGCTACAGGGGCTGCATGTAAAGATTAGCCGCACAACACTGCACCTGATTGTACTGTTTCATTTTAATAACAGTCAGCACTCTGGCTGGGCGTGTTAGAATGTCGTTAGCGCCAGCCGCTCCATTTCGACACACGGCGGCCCTCACCTCAAACTCGGCGTGCTGTTTGCACAGCACGTCGTTCATTGCAGTCAAAGGACGTTTGTTGTTTGTCTTGCACAAAAGGAGCTTGGGCTATTCCAGAATGGCTGTCTTTGTTTTTCCATCCACCTTGTCTGTCCATGAGATTGCTCTGCGCCTCAGTCTAATTTCGTATTCCGCGAGTGACTGAGTGAACGTGTGTGTGTGTGCGTACCTGTGACAGAATTGGAAATTGAGCCATGTAATAAGCGCCGTACGTTTCCCAGATAGGATTGCAGAAACTTCAACTTCCTCTAACTCAGCCGCTCTGCCAAAGAGGAGGAGGAGAAGTAGAAGAGCTGCTGTTACTCGGCACGTCTCCGCTTCCCGGGGAAGCGTTCGCACAACAGTATGCACTTGATTATCATAACACTCAATGATGAAGACGTGTGGGGCTTGGGTTTTCAGCCTCCCGCCCCCCCCTTTTTTTTTTTCAATTGAGGCCATCTCAGGGTTCTCTCTCTGTTTATCAAACCAGGACATAATACAAATATGGTCTGCAATAACTTACTTTCGTGACCCTCTTCATACTGTCCTTGATGTCCTTTGTGAACTGTGTTTCATTGTATGCACATTTTTTTTCTGTGTGTGTGTGTGTTCCTTTATTGTATCCAGTCACAGAAAATACAATATATTTACTTTTCATAAAGATTACTTTTCTAGTCTTTTTTTTAAAAATATATATATATTAATTTCAACTAGCCTAACATGCAAATGCTGGAGCCCGAATTCAAACCCCGAGCTTAGAACTGCGAGGCGGATGTGCTAACCACGAGTTCACCGTGCCGCTAATCAAGGCTCTCTCTCATTAATATGTTGGAACATTTCCGAGCGAATCAAGGCGATAATCGGACGGTCTGACCTGGATTTAGTCACTCAAATCCCCGCCCTGTCCCCCCCTCACCGCCCCTCCCACTGTCAAGCATTGTGAGGAAGCCATGAAAATAAACAGTCCATCTGAGTCACAAGCAATTCAAGTTTAGGTCATTTCTTTCCACTTCCTTCAGGGCCCACGCAGCAGTCGATTGCAAGCGCAGGAAATTAGGCAGCCAGAGACTTGCTTCTGTTTCTGGGATATTTAAATTAATCATTGCACTGCATTTATAAATCCAGTGTGAAGTTTAATCTGTCATTGACACGGCTTGGACTATGGAGAGATAATTTGGCCCGTAGCGTGTCTGAAAATGATCCCAGCGGCACATTTGAAAGGCTTTCGGCTGGTCCCAGCGCCCAATTATCCTCTAATGGTCATTATCTCTGTTTGTGCATTTTGTGAATACATTCTCGGCTTATGTTGGCCGTGAGGGAGCTTTCACTTCCGTCACGTCTCATTGTTTCGCCATGTACTTCTTCCTTTTGATTTTTTTCACCTAACAGTGAAGCCAAAAAAAAAGCTTAACTATCATGACGCGCTTGTTTTTATTTTTTTTAGTAAGCCGAAAGCCAACATGTGCTTTTGGGACTTGTTTGCAAATGTGCTTTCCGGTTGTGGCCTTCCGTAAACCAATATTTTTTTCAAGCATGTTTTTCTTGACCCCTGTATTTAAAAGAAAAAAAAAAGAACTTCAAAAACAAGCAAGCAACATTCTGTAAGAAATACACGCACAATGCCAAGATGTCAAACTCATCTCTATCATGGGCTACAACAGTTTCCCTGACTGAAAACCATGATTATAGTTGCACATGTTCAGAAATTTTAGATCCACACATTCATACCCATGGACAATTTAGTTTAACCGAGCATGCATGTTTTTGAAATGTGGGAAGAAGCCGTAGTAACTCAAGATAAAAAAATGCGAGCATAGGCAGAACATGCACACAAGACATGCTAACCACATGCTTCAAAGTTCTGTTGAGGACGTTTTAAAGATATAAAGTTAGAAGGTCTTTACGAGAAACAACGATAGATGCAAATACGACCTAATTCATAAATCAGATGCACCTAATTTGTAAATTAGACGAATTTCGTTTAGGTTATTGACAACGACTTGTTAAGAATTAATACGGCATTCTTATACCATTTCGTTTTCTAATACTTTTTCTTTTATTTCCAATGCGGCGCTAATACCACTTTTTGTAAAAATGAGACAAGCCTTGAAAAATAGACATCTTCACATCTGTATGCAATCATAGATAGCCCTTTTGAAAACCTTTTCATTGAGGTGAGTTCTCAAAGAGAGTCTGTTTTTTTGTGTCATAAAACACAGTTTCATTTACATGCACACAAATGCATTTAAATGATCATCCTTTTCTCTCCCGGTCCTGTAGTTGGCGCTAACTCCCATGACAAACTACAGAGTTTTTTGCACTGCCATGCCATCTGCTGGATTTGGTGGGTCACCGTCACACTGCCAACTCAATCAAGTAGCGGGCTAGAGCGGTCACATAACCCCAAATTGTACATAAGTCCGAACGCGCCATACTTTCACTAACCTATGCTAATCGGGTGGTAAATCCATAATTACAGTGGAAACAATTGTCTATAAATTCAAAATAATCAAATGAAAAACAGATCTGCAATGTCGCGTGACAAAATCAGATATCGCTGCAAAAACTAGTCCGTGCAAAAAACCAAAACAAAAATGTGATGTGTATTTTAATGACAAAACGCAGCACTCTATTTTTTTCACTTTTTAGTTATAAAAACACTCATTACATAAATAGAATCTAAAGATTTTTTTTGTCTCACTTTTTGCTTCAATTCAATGTGTTAGCATTAGCATTAAGCTACCACACTTAAAGGCTAGGCTATATGCTTTTTGTAAATCCACATGTACTTTGTTTTATGTTTAGTCTGACAGTAAACTTCAACTAGGAAGGGCAATGTGATCAAGATTCATGTCTCATCATATCTCTGCAATTTCGAAGCTAAGTTTGCTAACACAATTTTGCTAGCTTCCTGCTAATGATATGGTTTGAATGTTGTCTGCATATCCACCGGCCGATTGACCCCTCCCCGATTGACCCCCGCCCCCTGTACTCAACATTTAATGTTTTCTTCATTGGCCTTTGCACAAGCCAATGAGGTTTATGACGTTTTAGCCAAATCCAAACTTTGCCTCACACAACTAGCGGTTATTATTAAAACTAGAGAAAACTTGACTCTGCATTGTTGACTTGATAAGCAGTAGGAGAGAAGGAAGAGAGGCTGAACAAACCTCCACTGGGGCGTAATTATCATTCTCCATAATGAAGTGACTGCAGAGAACCTGCCCCGCATCCCCAGTAAGAGAACACTGATAAAGACGAGGCCTGCAGAGGATCCATTACCATCCCTGCCTGTGTAACCAGCTCACCTTCTTCACTTATGAATTCCTTACCTTCACAAAACAACATTTGTAATATCACGCTTCTCTGCAGGATCAAAAATGACATCCCGTGTGCTTGTTTGGCTGCGTACGCTACACACACGAAAACAGAGCTACGAGTGTGGGACAAACCGAGCAGGATTGTCACACTGCATCCCTGAGAGGATACAGTTGATTTTGGCGTACCGCGGCAATGTCAGAGCGGCTGTCAATACAGGCGCAAACAAGAAGTTCCATGTTTGATTTCCGAACCACAAAAAAAAGCAAACCAACCAGAGGGCGTTGTGTTCTAAAGCAGATTTTTATGGTACAGGGACCCTTTACAAGAGATTTTTTTTTCCAGGAACACCCTCATAATATTACCACCAGTAAAATACAGCTGCCTGAAACAAGGGAAGACAGTCTTATTTAATGAGCGAATTTGAAAGAAAATACCATTTTATTTTTGCGATAGTGCTTTGTATTCTGCAAAAATCATCTTTATTTTCTAAAACAGTGGTTCCTCAAACTTTTGAAGCCAAGTCCCACCAGAAATATTTTTGCTCTCCAATAGCATCGTAATGGCCAAGAGAGAGGCCAAGG